ATCAGAAAACCATCTTCTCTTCCAAACCCAGCACGGCTTTCTCCCGGGCAGATCCTGCATGTTCAATATGCTCTCTGTCATGGATAGTCTAACTCAAGCCCACGATGACGGCTTGATTCCCCACGCAATCTCTATCGACTTCGCAAAAGACTTTGATCGAGTTCCCCTTGCCCCCTTACCTCATAAACTAGTCATATGGCCTAACTGGCAAACGTTTGCCCTTACTTCGCGATTTCTTCACAAACCGTATCTTCTCGGTTCGCGTAAGTTCATCGCTCTCATCTGACTGTTCTATTTCTACTAGAGTCCCGCTGGGTTGCGTCCTTGGTCCACTCCTCTTTCTTTTATATATTAATAACCTGCCACACAGAATCGGAGTCAATCTAGCAATGCACACCGATGATGTGACAATTTGGGGCACCGATCCTGTGGCTGTTCAGTCAGCGATGGATGCATTCAAAGACTGGTTCACAGTCTGGAACCTTCCTGTAAATGACAACAAATGTGTTAGTATGACGTTTGGGAGAGTCCCTGCACACACCTTCAGAGCTAGCCCTTCTAGAACCATGGAGAGTGTAGAACACCATAAAGTTCTAGGTTTCTGGCTGATCAGGTCTCGCTCATTTTCCTATCATCAAAAAAGCCAGCAGATCTGCTTTCTGTATCCTTAACTTCCTAAAACGATCATTCCTCAGAATGGACAAATATGACTTTCACACTCTGTATAGCACGCATATCGACCATTATTAGAATACGGGAGTCAAATTACTCACTTCCACCTGGCCCTTGAGCGTGTACAACGGAGGGCGGCAAAACTTGTGCATGGCTTGTCCTCCATCCCTTACCCTACGCGCCTTTCCATCTTGAACCTGTACCCCCTTGAAACCCACCGGATATGACGTGACATCTTCCTATTGTACAATCTCCTTATTTCCCGCAGGATTGATGACTTCTTCTTGCGCACTAGTACGGACAATCTTCGTAGGAATCGCGTGAAACTCTTCAAACCGTGTGCCCGTACACCAGTCCGTCAGTGCTCTTCTACCCACAGGGTCATTTCTCTTTGGAATAGTCTTCTCGAAGAATTAGTTAATGCCCCCTCAAAAGCCGCATTTAAACGGAAACTAGTCCTGCATCTTGGCCTAGTTCCTGCACGATAAGATCTTCGGTGGGATTTACTCAAATCCGTATGTTTTCCTACCTTTCTGATCTGTTGCACTGCATGCAGATACTGCAACCCTCTTCTGCCTTTCTTCATTTCAGGTTACCTTCTTTTACAAACAGAACGCGGATACATCTAATCATCCAACATCCGCTGCAGTGAAGACTTGTCCGTAACCGGCCCATCGGGACGCAGGACCAGTAAAAACTTTGGAAACCACCAGGGTCCGGGATCTTCGGTCTTAGCCTCGCACCCGTGTAATACTTCAAGACTTCAAAACTTCCCGCGACTGGATATTGAGAAGGTACCACAAATCTCCTCTCCCGAACAGGATAAGAATCTATGCTTCGCCCCACTAGTCGCCAGCACTCCCGACGCAAGCTTCGCCGACATAACCACGGATGAACCAACCATTGTCGGGATCCTCAACCTCAAGGTACTGTCACCTATGAAAGCAGCCCACGCTCCAGCAAAGGAGGTCAAAGGCCCAATCAAGATGCCCACCATTCGACCAACCGCTGGGATGAAGGGGATACCTGGTAATCCACCACCTAAGACAATTCTCCAGCTCATACCCCGGCGCAACCTAATTCATATTTCTATAAAACTTAAAACCTAAGAAACAATCTATCTACGCCAAAACCAGAATTTTTGGCAAGTGTCACCAGGTTGCTCCCAGAGCGAACGCCCAGATAGGACTGTAAGAAAAGTAAGACGCCCCAACCCTTTTTCTGCCCCCAATAGACCGCTCTCGCTCACCAGACAGAGTGAAAGCCCAGAAAACTGGCAATTCAATCCCGCCAGCACGCAACATGGACGCCAAACACATAGCACCACCTTCCAAGTAGCTCTCTCAGGTGCCACGACCCCCGCGGAGCAAAACGGTCAAAATATCACTCCAAAGCTCTCTCAAGTCCCCTGCCATTCTACTAGAAATGCTGAAATACATGGTAAGCAGGTGCTGAAATGCGTATCAACCAACTGCTTCAGTATAACTGATAAAATCTTTGAACTGCGACAATTGGCGCGCGATAGGAAGCCACACGTTATAGCCCTAACTGAGACGTGGCTAATTCCTGAGATAATAGATGGTGAAATAACGATAGATGGTTTCAACTTGTTCAGACAAGACTCAAACCGTGCCTATGCGGGCGGAGTTGCTCTGTTCCCTTAATGATTCCCTCCCTCCTGCCTTGCGTGATTCCCTTCCTACTATTCAATCGATCGAGACCCCATGGGTCAATATTATCTTCCGGGGATTCACTCCTACTGGGAGTAGTTTATCGCTCCCCATCTAGCACTCAGGAGAAATGTCAATCACTTCTAACTCAGCTTTGTGACCCCGTCCCACCTGCACTTTCTCACACCTTATCCAGGGCGATTTTAACGCCCAGATGCCCAGATGCCACTCTTGTGATAGGATTTTTGGTTTGCCTCTTGTGAACTTCTTTAACGAACACTCATGGTTCCAACACATAAATTCTCCCACGAGATACCGTGTCGGCCAAAGTCCCTCTTTACTTGATCTTGCGATTACCAACGAACCCCACCAGATCGAAATGATCGCGTATCTAAGTACTGTTGGTAAAAGTGATCACCTCCTGCTTTTCTTTGACTGTATTATCCGCTATCCAAATTGAATGCCCTTTTCTGTAATGCTACGTTCCTTGAAAAGGGCCAATTTCGTTCTCTTACTAGAATTCCTGGCCAACAAGCTGAGCTCCTGCAATTTTGATACTGACCCGAACAACCTAATGAGTTGCTCGAGAGTCTAATTCACGAAGCGGACCACCTGTTTTTTTCCTATAGTTCNNNNTAGTTCAATCTGTAGCTGACCGTAGGCCTCCCCTGACCCACTCCATTCGGCACCTAATGAACGAGCGGGTCCGCTCATTTGCTAGACTAAACTGTACTGGGCTCAAAGCCGATGCTGTTGAGTTTAAGCGAATCCTCAATATATGTTAACTGAGACTTAGAAAATTCCACAATAGACAACAGAAAGCAATTCTTTTTCGTAATAAAAGTAACCCCAACTCCTTATTCAAGTCACTTCGCTGTAAAACGCAACCAACCTCCTCACCACTAGCCCTCCAGCTACCTGATGGCTCTTCTATAACCTCCTCTACTCAGGTTGTAGAGATCTTTCGGTCTCATTATAAATTCGCCTTTAGTTTCTCTCCTGTCTCTTCCCACCCCAATCTTCCCTCGCTAAATGCACCGCCTCCATTAGAACATTTCCTCATTTTTTCATGGAAGACCGAATCACTCCTCAAATCCCTGAATCCTTTTAGTTCGATGGGACTAGACGGCATACACCCGCAAGTGTTAAAAGAAGCCTCCTCGGTCCTTGCTCCGTACTATTCCACTCTCTTCCAAAGGTGCTCAGATGTTGAAATATTCCCTTCATCTTGGAAAAGAGGCCTCATATCCCCTCAATTTAAAAAAGGGGACCGACACACTCCAAGTAGTTATAGATCCATGAGCTTGACTAGCGTGCCCAGCGAGGTCTTCGAACGGGTTTTAAAAAAGGCAATTCTAAAACACTGAACAGACAATCAGCTTCTTTCTGAAACCAAACACGACAGATTCTGCATCTCCAATATGCTATGTGTCATGGACCGTCTAACACAAGCGCATGGTGACGGCTTGATTCCTCACGCAATCTTCATTGATTTCGCAAAAGCTTTTGATCGTTTCCTCCACGCTCCTTTACTCCATAAGCTCCAGTCATTTAATTAAATTAACTTATTGTCTGAGCAGCAGATGAAATTTCAGGAATAGAATGCTTTGAACCATCCATAGAAATTAGAGTTACTAGCAAGGTTGATGAAAGCTAGGAGCCCGACATCGATTTTGATCACGGCACCAGTTTACAACAACACTCCCATTACAGAACCAAAGGATATAGTTGAAACGCTAAATGCATTTTTCGCCTCAGCACTGATTAGTGACACCGCATCATTTATTTATCATACTACAATTCCTCCATTTGAGCCATTATCGAATATCACATTCCACCCAGCAGACATTCCCCCTCTTGTTTCTAATATCAAACTGTCTTATAGACCAGGTGCCGATTCCTTACCATCAGCCGTCTTTAGAATGGGGGGACCTGACATCCCAATTCTTCTTTCAAACATATTTAATATATCCATGAAGTATAGCTGGTACCCAACACAGTGGAAAACTTCTGTGATCATCTCCATTCACAAGAAGGGATCACGACAAGATCCTGCCAATTACCGACCAGTGAACCACACTCCTGTTATTCCAAGAATTATGGAAAGACTGATAAAAGTTGAGCTGACCAAACACCTCATTATTAATAATCTCATTAGTAAAAACCGACATGGATTTTTGAAAAGTCGCTCGTGCGCAACTTGCATGACCGACTTTCTTAGTCTTGTTACGATCGCTGTCAATAATGGGAAATCAGTGATTGCAGTCTACCTGGATATGACAAAGGCCTTTAACCGGGTTCTTCACAATCGGTTACTATCAAAGGTCACGTCGTATGGTATTGTAGACCCCCTTTATTCGTGGTTAGATTGCTATTTGGATTCTCGTAACCAGGTGGTTAGTATTGAAGGGGCACCTTCGCAACCTAAACCAGTGACCAGTGGAGTAATACAAGGTAGTGTGCTGGGCCCTTTATTATTCCTCATGTATGTCAATGATATTTTCACCTTCGTCCGTTATGAGACACTCCTTTGTTTGCAGACGAAATAACATTGTTGTATACGTTTGAGCACAACAACCTGAATAATACAATTGAGAAAATTAGCTCTGATCTACGTTCCCTCAGTTCATGGTGCAATGACTGGTGCACTTAGCATCAATGGTAACGCTATTCCCGACAGACAATTGGTAAGAGATTTGGGTATGCACTACTCCGGCTCCTTCAACTTCTCGGAGCATGCCGAGGTCCAAGTAACAAAATGTCGCAGGACCATTGGACTAATCCAGAAATCTTTCAGATATCTGGATAGTAAACTCAGTGTCTACATAATCCTTGCCAGACCGCATTTAGAATTCGGTACATTAATTTGCACTAATATGCGCCAGTGCGACAGAATAGCGATCGAAAAAGTTCAACGCTACTTCACAAAACATTTATTTGGCTTTTCCAATGGCCCAAATTATACAGAACGATGTATAGAACTGAAACTTGAACCGCTATGGCTACGACGAATAAAAATTAACTTAACCTTTTTCCATTCAAACATAATGCATATGAAAAGTATGGCCTTTCCAGAATTAAAAGATCGGTATAACTATAGACATTCTTTACGAGGCGGGTGTAATACCGNACCGTCTCTGTACTGTTTTCTCACAACCGCTTGCGATCCAACTTTTTTATAACCAAATACTCGCTTCTGTGGAATAAGCTTCCTCCACATGTTCGTGCGATTAGTCACCTATCAGCATTCAAGAAAGAATTGAACAACTTCCTTGTTGTACCAATGTTGATACATCTGTATGACCCCTACATCTCCGAAGATCGAGCATATGAAGTTGGTTTGGGGTTCTGACCAGCTACTTGATAAACAGTGTGGCGGTACTACCGTATACATTGAACAATATTTTTAAAAACGTTGCTTGCCTTAATCAACGGCTGGAACAGAGCCAAGACTGCCGTTTTCTTCTGTTTGTTTCAGATGTCCCCCGAACGCTAAAGGATATATTTTCACCGTGAAGAACGGCTGCACTCTCTTTACAGTTCGCATAATGTGGTACTAGAAATGATACCAACCAGAAGCAAACAAAATAAATTCCGCTTCTTTCCTCTGCTGATCTCCTGAGATGATGAAAACGGCTTTAAGGAGGAACTACGCAAACTATACTGACATGTCCCGAACCACTAATGATTACAACTCTTCTGAAGGAAAAAGAAGTCTGTCGTGAGGAACGGACAGGGCCGCCATGGAGTCTGCAGCAATCCCGACCTGAGAAAAAGAACACAATTAAAGAAACATTGAGATTCGTTATCTCGGGGGGTCACCTATGACAAACCCGAAACTGCACACTTATGCTCCAGGTCAGAGCAAGAGGCACAGTGGTGCATTCCTTATAGCTCTCTTTCCAATCCTCTATCTCTTTGGTAATGAAACATATGATTTCATAATAAAGAGATAATTTTAATGGCAGTAAAGTAGTCCATAAATCTACAGCAGTTATAAAGCTTTCTGGAGACTTAACTCAAAAGGCTATTTTCTGCGTTTCCGCTAAATTTAAACACTTTACATATCATCAGGCAAAGCAGACATTACCAGTTAGTATCATTTCAGCCAAAGATCAGGGCGCTGCTGCCACATTGTCGGTAAACTGGTTTCTTGTCATGGAAGAGGAGAAAGAGGGTCCGCAAGACGTTTATTATAGATAATGTTATACCCCAAACCACTTGAAATGTTTTCCTCTTTTATTTTAATTTTATTTCCTGAGTGACTTCTGTGCACTTACAACTCATCTTCACAGGATAAACTGAAGAACGCCAACACATCCCCAACAAAGGGAGATAGGTGGCGACGTCTCCTAGGGTTTGGTAAAGTAAGGCGAACTCTAAATCATACGGTTAACAGATGCAAATGGTAGCGCTTGCTCGCTGACCAGCCCTGTAAACGGGGAGTGAGTCATTTTTATGGCTCACAAGGGGTTTCAGTTACAAACTTTTGTGCGTCCCCCTAACAACAACAACAATGAGAAACACCATTGGTAATCAACCATTCTAACCCTGTACGCAATACCATTGGTCCTTTCAGCTCACCCTAGCTAGAGAGTGTTGCCTAATATACCTAGGCTTACCCAACCGTGGGGTGATCGAGTTCAAGGTTGATTTCTGTCTTAATTTTATTCCTTCATTCCCGTAGTGATAAATGATTATGGTTAGGATTCCAGCCATTTTGAATGAAAACTCTGTAGTTTGTCTGCTTTTTTATTTGATTGTTTGCGATAAAAGAACCCAATATGCCCGTTAGATAACTCGTACACGATGCTTCTCTTTGAACCAGATTTCCGCAATGGAGCATTCGGTCGCTTGATTCTGAGGCTTATGTCATGCCTGGTGCCTTTGATGAAATTATTTCTCAATAGCCGTTATTTTGCTAATCCCGAAAATTAGCCAATAAAACAATTGTTTACCTAAATTATGCAATACTGCTATATATAAACGAGTGAGTATGTCTGCCTAGCTGACATTTGCCATATTTGTTTACCCCCGTGAGACTCGGGTGTATCACTTGAGTTACGATTACTTCTATCTCACCATTAGCGTTTTCCTTCTTAAATTTACTATTTTCTACCGACAAATTTTCATATTTTTCATCTTTATTTATCCCTAAACCTATCTGCGCTTATGTTGTCATTCTATCGAAATGTGTCACTCTGAGTTCATTGGTGGGTGAAAGTGGTTTGCGCTACAGTGTGGAATGGAGCGTTAAAACAAAAACTTATTCCACCAAAAATTCTCCTTATACTTCGCTTTCACAAACATCATGACCATGTTCCCAGATATTGTGGATGTGTGGAACACAACCTACTTTGGTACATACCTTTATAAGTATTGTGACCCAATATTCCTTAACTCCTGTCCATCTGCTCCGGTTTTCCTCTGACTCAATTGGCTCAACTCCGTGGCACATGCTAACCAGGTAGCTGTGTCTACTATATCAACTGATGTTCTACCATTACTCGTATCCACCTCCATTTTGGATCTGTAGAACTAGACATATTTTGACAACATCCTTTTACCAGTATTATGACCTAAGCTCCCTGCTTGATTAGAATTTGGCGTTTGCTTCTTGCTATTTCTTTCTCTAATCCCCTCTCAGCTGGGCTGCACCCCGGTCTGCCGATGTTCGCCTTCCTATTCCAGATCCGGTTGGTTTGGGCCTGACGAAGGCTTGGGGTCTACACCCGCAAAAGACAATTTGGCACGGGCAATGGTTACTGGGCGCGGCTGTATCCACCGCTTTGACTACATGCGTCCGCATTCCGGACCAGGTGGAGGAACGCACCCCCTGCCTCACCTACAATGTGTTTTAAGGTTGGGTGTCTGGCGTGTAATCAGTTCCACATCAAAGCGACCAACGCCTTAATAACGTAAATAACCCAAATCAATCCACTGCTGATCGGAGCCCCTGAGACCACCGAACAAGACCCTTCAGAACTCATCTGTTTTTCACAACGTGAAGTGCATATATATTCCATGACAGTATCATTCTGTTCTGCTTCATCCTATCCGCTCCTGTGCCGGTTTCCGTCCAACGATCTGCAGGCCGCCTCTTGTTATTTTACTCACTGCTTGTCGTGTTTCCAATCATCCCACCATTCATTCGGTATAACAATTCTTGTTTGTCGTCCTACTTCCACCGACTTGCCCTCTTGGAGCGTTCCGCCATCCCCAACCTTTTTTTATCTGATACCTTGTCCACTCTGTGTTCCATTTGTAATTATGTTCACTGCGACCTTCAATTGTTTTCCTTTTGGGTCTCTCCTGTACGGAGGATTAGTTGTACATTTGATCATGCCTATGCATGCCTCACGGGACTCCGTGAAATATGCACTGATTATTATTATGATAATCATTTGAAGAAAGTGTTGGACAAGTGAGTGATTTTAGATTGGTCAGGGGTTGAGGTCAAGTAAGATGAGGAATTTTGGAATGAACTGGACGAAACGAGATGGTGAATGCGGTGAACTAGGGACGGGAAGGAAGGTCATGTCACGTCATGCTATGGTCGGGTGGTGTCAAGTGTGATATCGTTACTACCACGGCAAAAACAGTGGAGTCAAAAATGTTTTCTGAACACATTTGCGGTTTCCAGCGATGAATAATTATCGCTTCTAAGAATCGCAAAGTCCGTGAAGGTCGAGGCCTCGCAATGACTCAAAACGCTTTGGGTGCGTCTACGGGGTGACCGGAGTCTAACAAATGACGGGCAATCGCACTGGATGGTAATTTCTCTCCGCGAAGACCAAGCTGTTTCGAATATGTTCATATATTCTGGTTGATAAGTGACGTTCTGTCCTTCCGATATACCGCTGACCGCAAGTACATTGAAATGAATAGATGCAGTTGAAGGTAACACACTAACATCGTTTCGATCTAGATTAGTGTGTGTGAGACAACGAAACGTCCCGTAGACAACCATTAGTCTTGCGTCATTGTACACCCTTTTGACGGCGTGTGTTAAACGTCGAGATATCGATTTTGTCACATCATCTCCCTTGAAAGGCAGTTCCATATGGACATCTTTCTTCTTAGTCGATAGAGAAATAGGCTTGGTGTTGATCGGCTCGCTGTACTTGTGAATGAATGCGATGGGATAACCATTGTCTATCAAGGTATTGGTTAGTCGGTCCAGTTCATCTGGCAGGACGTGCGGACTGCATAGTCGGTGAACCCTGTGAAACAGTGCATATTAGACCACGCTTGTATCCCACAGGGCAGAAACTCCTGAAGTGTAAATACTTTCCTGTCCATGGAGCCTTTCGATACATAGATATCTGTAGCTTGCCGTCCGACATTCGATTAAGTAGTAAGTCAAGGAATGTAAGTTTCGATTTTGATTCACATTCTAATGTAAGTTTGATGTTGGGATGCAATGAGTTCAACTTGTGAAATGATGCCATGATAACTGTTTCGTTGCGCGCAATAGCTAGTGTATCATCAACATACCACCGATAAAGTAGGGTTGAATTCAACTCGCCTTCTAGTTGGGTTTTTTGTATTGACAGGATGATATCAGCAAGAATTGACCCAAAAGGGCTACCCATAACTACCCCATCAATCTTTTTATAGATGTTTCCATTGAAAGCAAACTGCACGTCGCAGACGCATAAATCCTGTAGGGTTTTCAAATCACTAGCAACGAAACCTATTTCACTAGCATGTTTATATACTTTGTTTACAGCTTCCCCGACCGGGACATTTGTGTAGTAATATCGTAAGAGGCGAAAAAACAAATACGGCAATCAACATCTGGTATTGCTTCTTTTAATTGAAATGTATCCTTCAGTTAGAAATTGCACAGTTTGGTACTAATTGGAGCAATGAGCTTCACCAACCATTGTGCAAGTTTGTGTTGGGGAGAGTTAGCCATCAATAGGATTGGTCGTAATGGGATTCCCGGTTTGTGCAATTTCCGTATATTCTGGCTTTATGGGATCCCCGAGGTCCTCCTTTGCGTAAAAACTCTGTTGTTAGTATCAGTCAGAGATCTACGATCTTGCAATAATAACTGAAGCGATTCCGCTGCAGTCGGGCTTTAGCAGAAACGAAATCACACAAGTCACGGAACGATGG